GGTTTGAGAGCCAGCCACCTGTCGGTATATAAAGATTGACAGGTAGGAAGAAGGAAGATACGAGACAGGACAGAAGTGAGAGGGTGGAATGAAGAGATGGAGCAATTGAAGGAAGGAGTGCGGTGCCTCTGCTCTCTGCCCTCTAGTGCATCAGGAAATGTCAGGGTTTGTTGGAGGTGGAATGGTAATGGCTGCTGTGGGCAGGCCTGATTGACACCCAGAAAGGCCATGCCACTGAGAGGGTGGGGGGAGGTAGGAAAGTGACAGCTGGTCCAGGTGAGGGGAGGGATAGCTGGGAACAGGTAGGAGGTGCAAGGAGAGGGAAAGATGGAGGGAGAGAGGGAGGAAGCAGCTGTGAGGCTGAGATGAGGAAGAGGAAGATGTGGAAATGGGATGGAGGATGAGTACTTTTATCCTCCGCTGGTCTCATGTAGAGAGCTTGTTGAAGACATTGATGAAATATGAAAGTGGAAAATGGGACTCAAAGCGAAATAAGGAAACTGGAAGAAGAGAGTCAAAGAGTTAAGTGACTCATCCATATTCAATTAACACCCTCTCTGATGTGTGGAGCTAACCTAGCTTGCCTGGTGAGCATGGTGTTAATTGTTTTAAACATATGACAGACTCCCTGAACAAAAAATTGAAAATACAGCTGAGGTCAAGACATTTAAAAGGCACCTCAATAATAGTTAAACCAGCGCAGGAATGACAATTTCCAACAAAAACCACTATGTTCTGAACAGACTCATTACAAACACTAACAGAAAGTAGCATTTAAGAAAGTGGCATTTGCATTTTGGAACATGAAATAGCAAACTAAAAAACTACTCCGTCGTGATAGGAGCTGAGGCCCGCTCCCAGCACTATCTGCAGTGCGTGGCAGAGGGTGGTGTGGAGAAGTGGTGTCCGCCTGGAGATGCTGACCTTGTCTCTTATTCCTCTTTGACCTATCTCCACACTTTGTTTTAGCGCTGTGCCCACGTACTTACTACCTCCCCAGGGGTTTCTTGTTGTTGTCAGCTGTGTTTATATTTCCCCCGATGTTAACACCAAGGCAGCAGCAGAGCTGGTAGTCGAGCAGGTTACGTTATATTGGCGCAGTATTCTGGAGCGCTGGTGTTTATCTTGAAGGATTGTAAGTTACAGACTGCCATCATTTTAACAGTATGTGGACACCAGGAGGGAAAACATGTTTGATTTGTGCTACGGAGATATTACCGACGCGTTTAGTTAGTTAGTTAGTTAGCGTTTTAATAGTACCCAATGCTCTGATCCCCCTTCCCCACTTTATTACGTTTCACACCCCTTTCCTTTACAGCGTTGCGCCTTCACCCTTCCCCACCCAGACTCATTTGTTGTTAATTATAGGCTATTTAAAGTCCAAGGGCATCCACTGCTAAAAATACATTTAAAAAATAAAAAAACAACCTTAAACTCATGTTTATTGCATTTATCCTACAACCTTGCCTGAGTTCAAGGAGTCATCGGAAATATTTTAAGGTTTTAGAGGACACATTAAAATATGTATTAAAATAAAACAACAGTTTAAAAGGAAAAAGGATTTTGCTGTATAAACATTATCATGTATGTCTTTTGTTTGGCAGATTTTTGACATTTACCAACATTACTGAAGAAGTAACACACAGGGCTTTTCTCATTTCTCCGATTTGTGCGTCCTCGTCTCCTCTCTCCTCGTCCTCCTGCCCGTGACCCGGGAATCAATCTCAGCGCGCCATGTTGAAAGACGTATCAATTCCTGACTTGCATTTGGAGGAGGGAGGATAGAGGAGGCCTGCTGGAGGAGCTATGAGCAGGGCTACACAGGTGCATCCTTTACGGACGTATAAAAGAGGCGTGGCATACTGCTGGAATATACAAACCAAGGCGGGGGCACTCTGTATTGATAAGTTATATTAGTTGCTGAAGCTGATCAAACTTTTTGCTCTTTACTGTTCCAACCACATTCCTTCATGACATTTTATCTTCATACAGGTAGTTACCATGGTAACGGCCACAAAAACTACCGTCACACACATAATAATAGACTTACAGAGAATTAACAATGTTACGAGTCTGTATTTAATTCGGCACATCTTTAATTCACCAGCCAGCGCTTATTTGAGTGAGTGCGCCTCTCATTCCCACAGTCTGCTCCTATGGAGACTGTAGCGAGTTGAGGCAATAAAATTGTAGAAAAGTTTATCTTTATGGATCATACTGATGCCAGTTGACAAGAAGACTATGGACATGTGACGCACCCTATCTTGTGCTTCTGGAGCTGCGTGTTGTTAGGATACATAACGCATTGTTAAAATGTGATATTTCTTAAAGGGAGTTTGGTGCAATAATCTCTGAAAGTACAGAAACACAGTGAAAAATATTTATATACAGTGAAATAAACTGAGATTTGTAGTGAAAGAAGCTTTATTGGACATGATTGAAATAAAAAAAATGTATGACATATGTAGCCTAGAGGAAGAGAGGATGTAGAAGTTGGGGAATGAGACCCACAGACAGAGTGGTAGGGGTTTGTCTGGAGGATCAGCTGCACCTGAATCAGCTCCTCCAGACTGCTCGGCTATAAAGGGAGCTGAAAATAATCACTTCCTTTTGGTTTGGTTGTGTTTCACTGCCCACATCCATGCACTAATTACACTTCTGATAATAATGATTTATGTATGCATCAATTAACAGCCTGGGCATTTATTTTCTTCGATCACTGACCTCAACCTGCCGTTATTTGGAACAGGCCTTTAATTCCTTTTGCACAAAACTCTTGCTCAGCAAAGATGGAAAACAGAATCAGATTAATTTAAATCAGTATGAATATTACTTCATACCATCATCCACACAGTTTCTATAAAATCCAGACCAGGCCTCTAACGGGGTTTATTTGTGTAAACCTGTAGCCACACCAGGCTAGTAAATGAGACCTGCCTTTAATTGGGACTCTGCTTTTTATTAAAGTTTTCCAGCACACTGTTAAACCAGATCAGTTAGATCAACTGAAACTTTTTGAAGGAAACCGATCGTCTTTAACCTGCTTAAGTTTATAACTCAAACTATTTAAGCACTTACAAAATATTTGCTCAAGTATATTATAAATAACTCAAGTACAAAAGATTGATTGACGACGTCACATTCTGTTTTACAGGAAGACACAATGTTTGGATTCTGCTATGAAAATACAAAGAAACTGACTTTTGTTGCATACATTGTTTAATAGAGGTACAACTGAGGATGTGATCTTAAAGGGTTAAAATTACATTTCTCCTGGACTTTACATTCACTGCGATATCCAGCTACATTGAGGCGGATTGGAGGAGCTTGTTCACCTTGTCTCACACCGTACGACAGCAAGTCAACGACGGGACGCACTCTGCAAGAGCTCGTGCCTCCACTTTGTCCACAGGATGGTTTAAGACTGGTTGAAGGTTTAGATTATGAGCTCTGGGATTTTCTTTCAGCCTGTGCACACTATATACAGTGTGAACAGGTGTTGCATTCAGGGAACTCTGATACAGTAAAGTCATTCTCCTCGCTGTGCTTTCTGTCGTTGTCATGGTCACACAGCGAGGGCAGGCAGAGAGCGGGAAAACTCATCAATCAACTCCACAACGTGCTGCCAAACTGTAAACACACAAAATCCCTTGTAATGGAGATCCCTCTTCTCCTCGTTGGTTTTCCTGGTTTCTTCTTGTGCAGCTCTAAATTTTAAAAAGTTGCATTGAGGTAAACTCACAGTGGTCGCTGTGGGGCCCTGCGGGGGCCCTGCAAGGCCTCGGTGCCCGGCTCAGCTTGAGCAGGCCGCCGTCTGACAGGCGAACAGTGGAAGATTAATCCTGGGTGGCTGACCTGCGCCAGCCTGTATCCTCATCAGAGCGAGAGGTGAGAGAGGAGAGTAAATCAGTTTTAACATGAAAAAGAGGGAATGTTCACAGTATAAAGAATATAAAGCAACTTGTTCCATTAACATTACAAATAAGAATAAAATACAGCAGTGAAGTGAAATCCTATCAGGCCGTCAGTGGAGGTTGTCTTTATTAAACCCTCACAGTCCACACACTTCTCCTCCGAGCGAGAGCAGTTTGCAGGAAATGCAAATGAATGCAGTGCGTCTTATTAAAATGCATCCGGACAAAAAGAAAGGAAATATTCAGTGAGTGCTAATGCGCAACATTATAATTTTAAAACTTCCCTTTGTAGTTTGTGTTTCATCAGGGCCGGGTGTGATGAAATGATTGTGACACTTTATTAGCGATTCATGTGAAGATGAGAGAGGAAACCGTGTGCAGACGCTTCACTTTCATTACAGGAACATAGGAGAGGGTTTTTATCTGAATCTCACCGAGTTTAACAGCTGCTCCTGCTGATTTGTGCTCAGTTCAGACACCTTAATGACCTTTAATCTTCTACACTAGGTTCTGTTGTTGCTGGTGGTGTCCACCCTTCCTGCACTGGATTTAAAATCACCTTCACACACATTAGATTCACAGGAAACAATGTAACGTAATTTGTTCATAATTTAATCTCATAGTTTGAAGCTTCTCTGGCCACTGAGCGCTCTCTGGCGTCTGGAGTTGAATTACTGCTGATACAAACTGAACACTTCCTACTGCTGTTGTCACAATACAAGTGTTTGCTTTACTTAAGACAAAAAGGTGAATAAAAGAAACACACCTTTAAAATCTGCCAATAGTGCCAATCCAGAAGGATTAGTAACAACATAATGTCTCAATGAAACTTCAGTCAGGCAGCTCACATTATAAATGTTTATTACGGCGGTACAACATCACTCCTCGCAGAATGTTTAGACACATTAGGGAGTGATGAGACCTTAAAGCAGAGGTTTCCAACCTGGGGACCTCACTTCACACAGGCATGCTAGGAAACAATATATACAGTAGGCCTGTATCTCAGTATTGGTTCACTTCTGTGAAGAAAAGTAAATGTAAATTGTCTAATAGAAGAATGGCCAGCTGTCAGGGAAAAACACAAATTTGTCAAAAAAGAAGCATATCAAGTTGTATGATTGTTGAATGAATATAAATATTCAGATACAATTGTACAATTGTTCATCCAAATCTCTCGTTTTACAAAAGCTTCTCACAGTGACTGAACTCACTGTTTGGGTTTAACATACAGTTTTTCAGTCAGGGGTTGTTAGTTTACTCATGATAGGAAAGGGCTTCTTTAAGGAAAAATGTCGGGAACTACGACCTTAAACCCTGAAACAGCACAGACTGGAGCCTGACTCTACTGCTGGGAGGATCTTCTATGTGTGGGCCCCCCTCATGCAATAACATTTGACATGTAAGTGACGATATAAATACTGTAAACCCAGCAACCACCTGATATACAAGAACATATTATAATTATTTACTGAAAAGAAGCTCATGAGCTTGGTAGGCGGAGGATGACCAGCAACCCACGGACTTTAGGGCTTCAGTTCTTTATTGATACTGTGTGTAAACTCAGTTCGAACTGTCTGAAGATCCTTCCGCTGTTTCACTCGCTGATCATCCAAGAAAAGAAAAGCTGTTTCTGATAAGAGCAGAAATATTCACAGTCTCCAGAATCAATAATTCATGATTACAGAGGAGCTTTGAATTATTGAACTGAGCTGTTAGTCCGATGATGACTCACACACTGTTATTCTGAGAGCTTCAGTTTCCTCTCTGATCTTCTATCAGCTCAGCTTTGATTGATCAGCTGATCGGAAACAGGCTCATGTTATCAGCTGGATTTAGTTCTATAAAAATACATCTTACTAAAATATATGAGATTATAAACATTAATATATCAGCAAACAGCTATTCTCTATATACAGA